CAACTCAGACTCCTAGAGATTCTCCTGATTTTAGCCTCCCCAGGGAATGTGTCACCACATCCAGACTCGGTTCAGGTTCAGCGTTCAGCATGCTTGGGGGTGGGGCGGGGGGGCCACGTGGTGCAGGGGGGGTCACACCCTGGTCCCTGTGCTTGCCTAAGCAGGGGTTTAGACCACAAAGCTTTCTCACTGGCCCGCAGAACAGTTAAGATTACATATAATTGTACAGTGAATAATAAGTCACTAATCCAAGCTATAATATATTTAAAATTCAAGACAAATACTAAAATTGTTCTTAACCAGGATATATGAAAGCTTTCATTCATGGGCCACCTGCTCTGCACTACAAGTACCTCATGTAGAACTTCATCAGAGCTAATAGATTCGATCCACGTGCAGAAGGGTACAAAATCAAAATGGGATATTACAAAATACAACTACATTGTCTCTGCCTTTTGATTTCCAATACTATCTCTGAGTCCATGTACACTTCCATGAGGAAGATTTCAAATCATGATCCAAATGTTTTCATCTGAATCAACATCAATGAAAGTGAGATGTAACTTCTGATGGGAACATTGCAGAACCAGGATTTTACCTACAGTCCTGGATTCCCTTATGTTAACCAGCCAAGAACAGTTTGTTTAGATCTTTTCTTCCTAATCCTAAAAATGTAATGAAAATTCCATGCCTTGGACACTCTGTAACTGTCTTGCTTTGTGAGACAGTTCTGTGGCACTTTTCCTCAAAGATGAACCCTAAAAGTTTTAGGAGCTAATTGCCAGTAGCACTTACAAAGCTAGTTATGATGATAAAAGGGGTAGCAGTTGGTCTTTACTGTTTTCTAACATTTCCATTAAAGTTAAAAATCTTGCTTTAGGACCATCAGATTAGATATTGTTATTATAGATTAAATATTATAAAATGTGATATTGTTATATTTTTCTGAAATGAAGCTTTTTGAGATATTATGAATATCTTTTAACATTAATGAAGGTTATATTCAAGACAGTCATGTTTAACACTTCTTACCATTTAAAACTGAAAATTTAGAGGAGAAAAAATTAATTATACAGAAGAGGTGGCAATGCATTTTGACTACTTTCAGTGGCTGATAACAAACCAAAATAGATGTGATTTAATTTGAATTTTCAAATTGTTTTTTTCACCAATAAACATAAAAAATATTGCCATAGGGTACTCCCCACTTCTCCTATCCATTAATGTGGATTTCAGGTGAGTTTGTAGTTGGCTATGCAAGAAAATCCCATGTACATACCCTGTCTGTCTATCGAACCTAAACTAATCTAATCTACCCATCCATTCATTTATCTACCTATTTGTCTATAAGGTACTGGAGAATGAACCCAGAGATGCTCTTCCACTGAGCTATATCATGATCTCTTTTTAGTTTCTAATTTTGATCAGAAAGGTGCAAAGGCTGCATTTGAAGTTGAAATCCTGTCTTACTCTCACCAACACCGACTTCTGGGATTCAGATATTACATTTCCATAACCATGTTATACTCTCTCAGAAATAGTCAGAAGTCTTTCAGATAAGTGCTACTACAATTTGGTTGTGCTTACAAATAAAAGGAACAAATTTCAATAAAATATATTTATCAATTTATAAATCCTGTTACACTAAGATATTACATAGAAGCTTGTTGCTATAGGCCAATAACATGTCAAATGCAAGACAATTTTAAGTTTGTTTTGAGGTTGTAGAAGGTCTTCCAGAAAGCAGAAGTAGAAATACAGGTAAGCGAAAAGGCTGCTTAAGGGCTTGGTGCCTGACTTTAAACCTTACCTGCCACGACCTAAGTGCATCTTTATGGCAATTCACTATATTCACTGAACTCTGTGTATAGAATGAGAATGCCGATACGTAGCTTTAACAATAGACTTGAATATTCCATAAGGTAGGGAGCAAAATAACACCTGGTTTAATAAATATAATTCATTGAAGGTTTAGATTTGCTATGAAAATATTTTCTAACCTTTGAATAATTTCGTTTGCTGTGCTCCATTTGTGCCATGCTAAGCATAAAATGGAGGGCCCCAAACTTCACGTACTCATCTGTTGAGGCACATCCTTAATGCAAACTGTTTATCCTTTTCTCAAGGAGAAAGTTTTCTGTCTACCTAATCCATTCTATTCACCTCCCCTACTCCCTGCCAAGAAATTATTATATTAGATGCAAAACTAATAGTTCTCATGGGAATGGTTTACTTTGACTTTCTCTGGCTTCTGTGTCAGCACTTCTTATGCATGACATTCCACAATCATACTCACGAAACAAGAAAATTCTCAGTGAAAAGTCATAAGTGTAACCCTTCACTGAAAGTAGCAAATTCTTTAACTGAAATATTTCTTTGGCTCTTAGAAAAAGATACATGCTTCCCTTTTATTTGCTAAGACCTTCCTGAGAGAGCTTTTTATTAACTATAAGACAAAGAAGCTTTAAGATGCTCTGCTCATTCTGCCACTGAGGTTTGGAAAACACTCTAAAACCACTTGCACACCACAAGCTTTCAGCTAACATTTATGGAGGGCCACCTGCCATGAGCCAGATCCAATTGATGTCAAGCAGCCTAAACAGTTCCACACCAAGATGCACACCCTTCTGTTATTCAAATCATGTGTGTGGTTTTCTCATTTCAGAAAAATTGTATTCCATGAGACTCTGCCAACCATGCTTGTATCTAACTTAGGCTACTAGAATGGAGTTCCTTCATTACCCATTTAATTGAAAACTCAATGAGCGAAATGTTTGCCTGGTATATTATTATATAATACTTGTTTCTTACTCAGGTTCTCAGCTGGAAGGCTAGCTTCAGAAAATGTCATTCTTTCTAGTTACTTCTCTTTTGACACAGTTTTGAGAGTATTTTCACCACTTGTGTATATTGTTTTAAAATATTCATGGTTATAAACTTTAAAATTCTCTGTAAATCTTCCACTGAGTCAGTAACTGAAAAAAGCTGAAATACTCTAATATGTTGTCCCTTTGTAGCTCAAGCCACAGAATCCACTTTATTGAAAGAATTTTTACATGATTTAAGTTAGTATAAGTTTTCTACTCCAATCTAAGGAAGTCCTTGAAATTCTAAAGAGTTATTTGGGTTTTGATATTATCGACAAAAGTTTCTAATAAGGAATCCCAAAAAGAGTATTTATAATCTAAACAGCCCTGAATTTTAACTTCAGAAAACTGTGCCAATTAGACGGGAATGACTATACATATATCAGAATCAGTACCGAGAATCAATTTTCACAATCATGGAATAACTAACTTCTACTGGTTTTAATGTCTTTATCAATATCAAGGCAAAACCTAAAAATAATACCACTGATTTTTTAAGAAATTCTTTCATTGATTATAAAGAATAAATGATACATATGGAAAGTACCTTTTAATATGAAAAATCATGCAGAGTAGTACACAGTGAAGAAATAAATGAGTGCTCACTTTGGAAGCGTATATACTAAGATTGAAACAATACAGAGAAGATTTGCTGGCCCTTCTATAAAGAGGAAAAGAGAATTTATGAAGCATTTCATATTTTTAAAATGATCTAACACAACAAATCTAAGTGCATCAATGCAGATAAAAAATAAAATAAAAACTAGAATATAGAAAATGACAAAACAAAAAGCAAAATGAAACCCTTAACTCCCAGCCTACAGAAGGTAAGTCTAAAGAACAAAGAGAGATAAAATCAGAAATCAGCTTCTGGAAATTTCTGAAGCTGGTAGCAGCATAAGTGAAAAAAGAAATGGAAGAACTACAGAAAAAAAAAATAACCTCGACGTTACAAAAAGAAACAACGATAAAAATGAAAAACACTAAAGAAAATACAGAAAAGACACTGGATCTCAGGAAAACAATGGAATACATGAATGCCAAAAGGAAAAGAAGTGAAATCCATGAGACACATCCAAACATAAATCCAGAACATTAAAATCTTCAATATATGTACAACAAATTAGATGAAGGCAACTATACAATATTATATCTAGAAGACAGGATTGTGACTAGTGACCAGGAAAAGAAAGATATATTAAAAATAGCAGATCAGGAAAATCAACCCAGCAGGTACAGAACGAAGCAAAGAAGAACAAATTAAATTGATTGGAGTAAGTGAGAAACCTGGAGATAGAACAAATGAAATAAAAGACCTCTTCACAGAAATAGTGGTAGAAAACATTCCTAACATGGATAAAGAAATTGATATACAAACAAATGAAGCATAACCATGACCAAAATAAATCTATAACAAGGAATATTAAAAAAATCAGGGTTCCAAAATTTCAACACAGAAACAAAATATTTAAAGCAGCTACAGAAAAGAAACAAATCATCTATACAGGAAAGCCCAATAGAATCACAGCAAACTTTTCAAAACAACTCCTCAAATTAAGCAGAGGTAGGAGTGAGGGATTTCAAGCTCCAAAAGAAAATAATCTTTGGAAATAACCTGGACTGATGTACTCCACAAAACTGTCTTTCAAGAATTAATGGAGAGATAAGATATTTCCATGACTAAGAACAACCAAAGAAATTCATGACTATGAAAAATTCAGAAAGATTTGAATAATATACTACAAAGAAATGAAAGAGACTATAAACACAAGCACACCAACATAAAAAAGCCACTGCAGAGGGCAAGCAAGTAAACAGAAGAGAAAGACAGGGAACCAATAATGGGAAAACAACATGAAAATAATGTTAATACATATAATTTATAACCATCAATGTAAATGATCTTAATTCACCAGTCAAAATAAGAGACTAGCAGAATGGATCAAGAAACAAGATCCAAAAAAAAAAAAAAAAAAAAAAAGAAAAGAAAAAGAAAAAAAGAAAAAAAAAGAAAGAAACAAGACCAACAACATGGAACATTCAAGAAATACAAATAACCCAAAAAGAAATTCACAGACTAAAAGTCAAAGGATGGAAAATAATTCTTTATCATGCAGGAAACCAGTAAAAGCCAGAGATACATATTCTATTTGCAGAAAATATGTTAAGCAAAAACAGATAAAAACAAAGAACATCACTGTATACTTGTTAAGAAAAAACTCCAAGAAGAGATAATAATCATAAATATATAAACACCAAGCACCACTATCCCAACATGAAAAACAAGTAAGCACTAACACAGCTGTAGTGGGGAGCCTTACTACTCCACTCACACAAGTAGATACAAAACCAGACAAAAATTAAACAAAGGAATGCGAGAATTAAACCAAGTATGCTAAATGGACTTAGTAGATGTCTACAGAATGTTCCATAGCAAAACATTAGAATAGATACTGTTCTCATTTATAAATGGGAAGTCCTCAAAAATTGACAACTTATTAGCCCATAAAACATTCTTCAGTAATGTAAAAGATTAAAATCATACCATACATACTATTTTATCATGCTAAAATAAAACTGGAAATAAACAACAAAAAGAAACCACACAGGTTTTGTAAATGCATAGAAATTAAACAACACCCTTCTGAACAACCAATGAGTAATACAGAAAATTAAAGACAAAAATTAAATAGTACCTACAATTAAACAATAATGCTGATAAAACAAATCAGAACTTATGGATGGAAAAGAAAGTAGTCCTAAGTGGAAAATTTAGATCAATGAACTCTCACATTAAAAACAGGGAGAGCCAAAATTATCAACTTAATGTTGAAACCTCAAAATTTCAGAAAAATAACACATCAAACCCCAACTCATGCAAAGAAGGAAAATATAAGGATAAGAGCAGAAAATAATGCAGTTGAAACTAAGAAAAGAATGAATGAACTGAAACATTAACTCTTGGAAATAATAAATAGAATTGGTAAACCATGAACCAATTTCTTCAAAGAGAATAAACAAAAACCCACAAATTCAAGCAATTAGGAACAAAAAAAAGAAAAATCATGGAATATCCTAAGAAATATAAAATACAAAAAATACAGTATTTCATCAATACCTACTTACTTGCAGATAACATGATAATCTACATAGCATGTACCACAATAATGTCTTATTAGAACTTGTATTCCTTTTTTTTTTTTTTTTTGCAGAACCGGAGATTGAACTTAGACTCTTGTGCTTGCCAGGAAATTGTTTATTCCACTGAGGCATCTCCCCAGCCCCGGAACTTATATT